AGAGGAGCCTGGTGGGCTACAGTCCATGGGGTTGCAAAGAGTCGGACACAACTGAAGCATCTTAGCATGTATGCACCCTAAGATAGCATATAAACTAAAACTTCTCTAGCCAAGGTCTCTATTTAGCTTTTGTTACGAAATATAAAGCTTCCCTGGTAGCTCAGACAGTAAGGTATCTGCCTGCAATGTGGGAGAACCGGATTTGATCCCTGGATCGGGAAGATCCCCTGGAGAAGGAAATGGCAACCCACTCCAGTACTCTTGCATGGAAAACCCCATGGATGGAGTAGCCTGGTAGGCTACAGTCCATGGGGTCGCAAAGAGTCAGACATGACTGAGAAACTTCACTTTTCACTTTTACTTTGACTTTACGAAATATAAAAGCCAGCTTTCAATTCTTGTTGACCTTGAAAATTAGCACCATACCATTTTCTCCTTGAAACACCATCCTATCCCTCTGATTGTACCAAATTCTATCTCTCAAGGATTTCTCTTTCCTTGGGTTTATACCTTGACTGTTTGTGCTTCTCACTCTCCTTAATCTCTGGATACTCTGATTTACTTTATGGCTTCAGTTACCATCTATATGTTGTTGATGGTTACATCAAAATTTCTAATCTTAAATTGCACTGTTGAGCTCTCAGAAGTTATAACATTCCTGCTGCTAAGTTGCTTCAGTCGTGTCCAATTCTGTGCAGCCCTTTAGACAGAAGCCCACCAAGCTCCCCCGTCCCTGGGATTCTCCAGGCAGGAACACTGGAGTGGGTTGCCATTTCCTTCTCCAATGCCTGAAAGTGAAAAGTGAAAGTGAAGTCACTCAGTCATGTCCGACGCTTCGTGACCCCATGGATTGCAACCTACCAGGCTCCTCCATCCATGGGATTTTCCAGGCAAGAGTACTGGAGTGGGGTGCCATTGCCTTCTCCGAGAAGTTATAGTAAGTTGACTTCTAATGAATCCATTTTGAAGGCCAATGGATTCAGATCTAAAGCACCTTGATATCTTTCTCCCACAAAGAAAAACAAACTTGTTCTTCCTCTTTGTTTTGGTAAATAGTATCCTTGTTCAGTTAAGTCAGTCTTTGTGTTGATGTCCATTAGTCAAAGACCATCAGATATATGCCCACAGTAAACAAAATCGGGTTTGTTGATGCTTTCTGTAGCAAGAAAGCCACACACCATAGGGAACCATGTGGTGACTAAGCAAGACTTTGCTAAACAAACTTAGAGAATATGGGCTTTGGTTAGATGATTTTGGGGAGGATTCAGGTAATTGGAAGAGATTTGCTGTGGATTAGGTACTGTCAAGAAGTGAGGCTAAGGGACTTCCCTGGTGGTTCAGTGGTTGGGACTTTGCCTTCCAATGCTGGGGGTGCGGGTTCAAGCCCTGTCTGGGGATCTGGGATCCCACATGCATTGTGGCTAAAAAAACCAAGGCATAAAATGGAAGCAATATTTAACAAATTCAATAAAGACTTTAAAAAAAAGAAAAGAAGTGAGACTAATTCTTTGATTGGATATCTTCATAAATCTTATCCCAGAAGTGAGATGACCAGGGTGAGGCTAAAACTATAATTGGTAAAGAAGCAGCAGTCACTTGTGTTAGCTAGAATTTTTTTTTTTTTTTTTTTGGTGTTTCTGCAGACCTTGCTTTTATCTGTATTCAGACAGACTGAAATTGACTTGGTTTTGCCTCACTTTCATCGTGGTCTCAGAGAACCTTTTATCTGATATTGGTGATTTGTGGATTCCATTTGTCAGAAAAGCGCCACAGTCTAACATATGAGTGCTGGGCTACTTCTTAGCTCTGAGAGGCTGTTTTCTCTTTTTTACTTATTTGGAATAGATGTAGAAGATGAGATAGCATATGGATAGCAGGAAGATGGATTAAGAGTATTTAGACAGGGTTTATGAGCAAAGAATTTACATGTGATTGGATATTTTATGTGTGAGAGGCAGTAGAGAAACTTATTCTGTTTGAAATATATCAGTAGAGCCTAGTGTTAATGTTGAAGCAGAAATGTCTAGATTGTTTATTCTTTACTAGGGGAAGTGGGGTTGAGGGTGGGGTTATATATCAATCACATATTAGGCTTTTTAAAATGAAATGTTTTACATATTTACTGTGTGCCAGACACTAAGTGCTTGTGTGATCTCTCTTAATCTCTTGGGTTGATTGGGTTAGAAAGGAAGGATGGCTATCCCTGGCATTTGAGAGTAAGAACCAAACTGGAGGTCTGAGTCGGGCCAGTGGTATTAAGTAATGTTTAAGAGTATGAGTTTCATCATAATAGTTTGGATTTGAATCCTGCCATCACCTCCCAATTAGTAGCGATAAGATTTTTCACATGTTTCCTAACCACTTAGAATCTCTGTACTGTACAGATTTAAATGAGCACTAATAATAATACCATCTTCAGATGATTGGCCGTACTTGGCATTTAGTAAACACTGGGTATACAATAGCTGCTGTTATTGCATTTCTCTTGTTGGCTGTGTGCCTTTGGACAAATCACAAAACTCACATCCTCAGTTCTGACATCATTTTACAGGGTTGGTATAGGGATCAAAAAGTGTACCTGGAAGTACTTTAGAAAGAAAGCACTTACATACAATAAAATAGATGTTAATGTATATTGTCTCTCAAGTGTTTGAATTTACCTGACAAGTAACGGACTGTGGTTGGGTTATGATGTTTCTGGATCAAGTTATATAGGATCTTGAATGTTAGGATGAGAAATTTCAATTTGATGCTGTGGACTTTAGAGGTTCAGCTATCAGACAGACTTCAGAGCAGGAGGATGAGATAAAGAAAACAGTGGTCTAGGAACTTGGAATAGGAAAGACAGAGCCTAAAGGTTCAAAGACTAGATCTAGGAAGCTTAATTTCAGGCTAAGTAGATAATGGTGCCCCAGATTAGGGAAATGATAGTAGAAGTGAAAAATATGAGGTATTTCTAAAGAATTACAATTTAATTACAAGTTGAACTTGTAATTAAGCTGAAGTTAAAGCTATAGATATAAAAACAACACAGGCTTCTTGAACTTTAATTTTGAAAATGGATTGGTCTCATCTATTCCAGTTGAGCTATTTCAAATCCTAAAAGATGATGCTGTGAAAGTGCTGCTGCATTCAATATGCCAGCAAATTTGGAAAACTCAGCAGTGGCCACAGGGCTGGAAAAGGTCAGTTTTCATTCCAATCCCAAAGAAAGGCAATCCCAAAGAATTCTCAAACTACCCCACAGTTGCACTCATCTCACAGGCTAGTAAAGTAATGCTCAAAATTCTCCAGGCCAGGCTTCAGCAATATGTGAACCATGAACTTCCAGATGTTCAAGCTGGTTTTAGAAAAGGCAGAGGAACCGGAGATCAAATTGCCAACATCCGCTGGATCATCGAAAAAGCAAGCGAGTTCCAGAAAAACATCTATTTCTGCTTTATTGACTATGCCAAAGCCTTTGACTGTGTGGATCACAATAAACTGTGGAAAATTCTGAAAAAGATGGGCATACCAGACCACCTGACCTGCCTCCTGAGAAATCTGTAGGCAGGTCAGGAAGCAACAGTTAGAACTGGACATGAAACAAGAGACTGGTTCCAAATAAGAAAAGGAGTATGTCAAGGCTGTATATTGTCACCCTGCTTATTTAACTTATATGCAGAGTACATCATGAGAAACGCTGGGCTGGAAGAAGCACAAGCCAGAATCAGGATTTCCCGAAGAAATATCAATAACCTTACATATGCAGATGACACCACCCTTATGGCAGAAAGTGAAGAAGAACTGAAGAGCCTCTTGATGAAAATGAGAGAGAAGAGTGAAAAAGTTGGCTTAAAGCTCAACATTCAGAAACCTAAGATCATGGTATCTGGTCCCATCACTTCATGGCAAATAGATGGGGAAACAGTGGCTGACTTTTTTGGGGGGGGCTCCAAAATCACTGCAGATGGTGACTGCAGCCATGAAATTAAAAGACGCTTACTCCTTGGAAGGAAAGTTATGACCAACCTAGACAGCATATTAAAAAGCAGAGATATTACTTTGCCAACAAAGTTCTGTCTAGTCAAGGCTGTGGTTTTTCTGGTAGTCATGTATGGATGTGAGAGCTGGACTATAAAGAAAGCTGAGCACTAAAGAACTGATGCTTTTGAAGTGTGATATTGGAGAAGACTCTTGAGGGTCCCTTGGACTGCAAGGAGATCCAGCCAGTTCATCCTAAGGGAGATCAGTCCTGGGTGTTCATTGGAAGGACAGATGTTGAAGGTGAAACTACAATACTTTGTCCACCTGATGCAAAGAGCTGACTCATTTGAAAAGACCCTGATGCTGGGAAAGATTGAGGGCAGAAGGAGAAGAACCACATGAGATGGTTGGATGGCATCACCAATTCAATGGACGTGCGTTTGGGCAAACTCTGGGACTTGGTGATGGGCAGGGAGGCCTGGCGTGCTGCAGTCCATGGGGTTGCAAAGAGTCAGACACGACTGAGCGACTGAACTGAACTGATTTAGACCTAAGTAGTAAGTTTGAAGAAATAGCCTTATGGCAATATACAGAATTACTGGAGACTTTTGGTTTTAGGTATTTATTCGGCTTTCCCCATAATGTAGACTCAGGTGTATACAGTGCAAAAAGAAAAGTGTTGATTTCACGGTACAGGTCTCAGTGGTAAGCTGTAAAGAATTTGATTTCAAGTTAAAATAAGTATAAATGTGTTAGAAATGTTATGATTAAAATCTGTTTGCTATGCTGTAGTTAGGGGTGAAATTACTTGAAATGCTTCAAAAAAATGATAGGTGAATACATATATGATAAATCAACAATAGAAAAATGTTAATTTTAAAATCTCAGTGGTGAGCACAGAGATGTATCTTTTGAATATTTTTGAAAGTTTTGATAATAAAATGTTGGAGGAAGAGTGGAGATATATACTGTTTGCTAAAGGCTAATCTTAAGAATTTGTGTGCCCTGACTTAAGACTTTTGTTTTCTCTGTAGGAACTTTCCGCTGTACCTTTTGCCAGACAGAGGTAGAAGAAGATGAATCAGCAATGCCCAAAAAAGATGCACGCACACTTTTGGCAAGGTTTAATGAACAAATTGAGCCCATTTATGCCTTGCTTCGAGAGACAGAGGATGTAAACTTGGCCCATGAAATACTTGAACCAGAACCTACAGAAATTCCAGCCCTGAAACAGAGGTGAGTATAGGCTCTGTACTCTTACCAAGAACACCTTTAAGCTCGCCGTTTTTTTAACCACCTGTACTTTGGAGAACAGGATTAGGTAAGTAATTTACTAGGAGACTAAAAACTATAAGATTATGTGGATTCTAAGCTCTGCCACACTTGTATTAACTTGTGCCTTTGATGAAATTTGTTTGTACTGAATGCAGAACAGTGTGGGCCTTAGGCAAAAATCTTTAAATAGTCAGGTTTGATTTTAAGTACTCAATCTGGTTGGGCCTGCTGCAACTCTGCTAATTGTTGGTTAGTCCCAAATTGGTTCTGCCTTTTGGGAATATCTGAATTTTTCCTAGTCAAGTTCTGAAACCCGAAGTTTTTTAAGAAATACAGCCATCACTTTTAAAATTTGTATTTGAAACATTCTAACCACACATTTCTTGCCTTCCTTAGCTTTCAGTGCAACTTTCTTGACAGTGAAGTATAAGTGGGTGTTACTTATGGGTTAATACTTCTTTCTATGGCTTTCTGTTTCTATTAGTGTATTCTAATGTTTGAATTGTAGAGGCAGCTTCATTTTGCCATGCCATAAAAAGCAGTTTATCTTCTTTGAAGAGCATAAACAAGAATTGAGATCAGGGAGTGCTCGCCTCTTCTACACTTTTTCTTTGTTCTTTCCAGTTTCAAGCTGATGGCTTAGAGTTTATACCTATCTACTCCCTTCCATAGAACCCAATAGTCCAAATTGTAACTGTATAGATTTTGGGAGCACTCTTAGTATTTTATGTTCTCTGGTACAGATGTTGCAGAAAAGCCAGTTCTGAGCAAATTGAATTTCATTTCGGTGGTTAAAAACAATCTAATTATATAGAAGGTTTTGTATCTAAACAAATCAATGTGAATTTTCTTTCCTAGCATATGTGTTGGTTAGAATGCCTCTATCTGTAATAATAGAACACCAACTAGAAATAGCTTGAACAGTAAGAAAAACATTATAGCATGACCAAAAGTCCTTAGGTAGCACAGCTCAGAATTAATTTCACAGCTCAATTACATCTTCAAGGATCTAGATTTGTTCCATATTTACTCTGCTGAACTCAGCCTGTTAGTTGTCCTCTTGGGACCACCAGAGGAGCTAGCTAAGATGGCCATGTCTTTCTAGGTATCACATATAGATGAAAATGTTCAAGTGCAAAAAATGGGACCATCCCTTCCTTGTGTCCTGTTTAAAGATGGAAAAAAACTTTCTCAGAGGGCCACCTTCATCCTGCTGTATCCACCAATGTCTCACTGGCCAGAATTGCTTATTTGCTTATTTCTAAGCCAGCATCTCACAAAGAAAATGAGATCACATGATTGGTGCTTAGACTGGTTAAGGTTTACCTCCTAGGACTAAGGAAGGTCCCAGAGTCCTTTGAAGCAAATAGCCATTAGTACTTGAATAAAATCGATAAACAAAGAAAGAGAGGAGCCATAATTGATAGGCAGCCAGTATCATCCACGTTACAGATAGCCTTAAATTTTTCTTACTGGTTGTTGGTCTCTTATCAATAATTTATTTGTTATATATTTTTCTGTGCATTTAAATAATACTGCAACCCTGTCAGAATAGCCTGTGAGGGAAATTTGTTTTACAAAAATACATACATTTTAAGCTTATTGGTTATTTCATATTGAAGTGTGTTTTAGACATTTTCTCTGATTGCTTTCTTTACAGTGTATAATATTAATACTATTTGTGAATTATACTTGTGTTTCCTCCTCTAAATATAGTTATCTTCTTGTTTATTAAGATCCTTCCCCACTGTAGTAGTATTCATTCACCACCACCATTGGCATTCTACCTCTATTGTCCAAACTTACCACAGTCCACCTCCCATCCCAGGATCTTTACTTAGGTATCCCTCAGTCCATGCTGGAGATAAGTCTGAGCAACATGAGAGGCCCAACAGCGGTTCAGTATATCAGATCACCTGCTTCTCATTAGGAGTGATGGAAATACTAATCAAAAAAGAGGCTACTCAACAGCTTGGTCAATAAAAAGAAAGGGGGAAATGAAGGCAGGCAATAAATATAGAATGGGGTACTTGGACTTCCAGCCAGAACAAAATACAATTGCTTCTACTTAGTTAGGAACAAGACTGTTAAGAGCTAGGTTAGAAGGTGTTACTCTGGCTAGGGTGGCCTCACCAGCATTTGACAAGTTCCACTGCTTGTATCCAACATCCTGGAAGTGGTGTTTATTTAGGTTTTCTGTACTATAGGCTCTATTTCAGAGCACAACAGTTTTGTAGTAGCCACCCTGCCCCAGCACAAGAAAAGGAAAACATCAATAGAGTGATGTGGGAATACACAGACAATAGTAAGGCATTATTTTGTTTAAAAAATTGGTGGTGTGATTGTTTGTTTGGCTCCTGATCTGTAACCAATTAATTCTAGCTTATCCCTAGAACAGAAACCAGAGGCTGCCTCTGCAAAACTGTCAGTAGATTTAACCCAAGAACTGATGAACAGTTCCAGCCTTTCAGCAAGTCAACCCACTGGTGATATTTAAAGTCTTCCTATCCTTCCTAAATGGAATTCCTTGTCAGTAACCTCTCCTTTTCCATCATCTCTTATTTAACACTCACCTTAAAGATCTTTAAAAACTTAGTTTTGAAATAATATTCTTCCTTCACCCCTGAGTGAGAGATACATCTTTTAAAAATTCTACAATTGTTTAAGTAATGTAAAAGGATTCAAAACTGAATTGTCACTTTGGTCATCTTTAAGTGAAATGTGTACATTCTCTCCATGGGAGAAATTTTAGCATGCAGAAGAAGTAAATTCTGATATCTCTCACCTGGACTTTCTTTAGTGTCACATTTGCTGATGATTTGACTGTATATTTGGTGAAGATATAAATAAAATCTGTGTAGTCAATTCTCCATGCTTAAAGATATCTTTAAAAAAATTCTTCCAAATTTAATAATTTGTTTAACTTGTGGCCAAATCTTTCCTGCCTCAAACCAAAATAAAACCAATCTTGAGTTTCTGTAACGGAGTAATGAAAACAAAAGAGTTTTTAAAAGTAGTCTTATATTCACATTTATTTGAATTGTCCTATCCAAACTACTGAACACTTAACAACCTTCAGAAGAGTCTTCAGAGTTAATGCTAAAGATACAGCATAAATGATAACTATGTGTTCAAGATGATATGGAGAAATAATAGCTTCAGAAAGGTTGAGTGGATCATTTAAGATTCTGGATGAAGGAGAAAAAGGACAGGGTGGAGTTGGCCAGGTCAGAACTAGAGAAACTGAGTGGGTGAAGAGAGACAGAAAAGGCATCTGGCTAACTCAGGGAGATGCATGTGGGCGCAGACAGGCATATAGGACAGGCTCAGCACAAGTTAAGAATATTAGCTGAAAATAGAAGAGACATTAAAAGGAGTTAAGGGGACAACTGGGTGAGAGAGGAGAGACTCAGAATGTAGAGTAAGCACAGAAACATGTAAACACAGATCAGGCTAAGAGAGAAGAGAAAACTGAATGCTTGAGAGAGACCAACATTTAAAAAGACAACTTACACCAGACTAAGTAGACTCACATAGTGAAAGCAACAACACAACCTTTTAGAAGACAACATGGAAGACAGAAAAGGAATGAAGAACAAATATGGATTAAATTGAGATCAACATTGTAAATAATGCAAAAAGTAACATTAGAATGAATGCAGAAAGGAATAAAAGCTAGAAAGAAACCAGTTATTTGCAATTGTAACATAAGACTTTAAACTATAGCAAGACAGGTAGATGGATTTGGTGCAGAGAGATGCCTCCTAGGCCTAAACTCAGAGTGGGTAAGGAGATAACTAATAAAAAGTCTGTGGGAAAGAATGATGTACAAAGCAGCCCTGATACAGCTAAGGGCAGTAGTTAGAAGGCATGGATTAAGTGACCAGATCAGCATGGTTTGTACAGCTAGAGAGGGTGCATTTTTTTTTTTCTTCTTTTGAGGGAAAAAGTGGCAATGGGTCTGTAGATATCCAGAGGCAAGGAGGTATGGGATGAAACCAAGATTACCTACAGAGAACCTACATAGTGTTCTCAGGGAGAGATGTAATGAGCCAATCAGATACATGGACCACAGTATATATCAGTTGCTCAGTCGTGTCCAACTCTTTGTGACACCCATATATATATCAGAGAAATCTTAATTAAACAGACGAAAAAGTTAAGTAGATGTAAGTGAGCCCAGGGAGAATTGAGGAGCAATGGAGTAAGCAGACATGAAGTAGGATCAAAGAGAAGGAAAAATAGTGAGTGGCTTCTGAGAGAAGTGATTCAGAACTTAAAGACAAATGAAGTATTGCTTAGGCTCAGAATGAGAAAGGGTACTGCACAGGAGACAGTTCAGGATCCATGGGGAAAATTTAGGGAAAAAATGGCAGAGAAGTAAGAGAAATATGGAGCGAGGGAATCAATAGACATGGACAAGAACACAGCAAAAGGTATGGAGAAAGATACAGGGCAGGTACTAAGTAAGCAGGTAGTTCATGAAACATGGAGATAATTTATGGAATAAAACAGAGTTGTCTAAACAGAAAGGGAGGGAGAGTCATGCATAGATGTTGATGCAGAAGGCATCAGTAACAGGCAAAGAAAGATAATGGGTGAGTTTAGACACAGAAAATCAGGTATAGTCAAAAGGGTATGGAGCAGATTGAAAGTAAAACAAGCAGAAAGACTAAAACTTAACTCAACAGAGATGAGAAAACATTAAGTGACTAGAGAAAAATAAGGAGTGATCTGATCTAAAGTAGACTAAGATGATCATGAGCCTTGTGGCTCAGTGGTAAAAAATCTGCCTGCCAATGCAGGAGATACAGGTTCGAAGCCTGGTCTGGAAAGATCCCACATGCCACAGAGCAGCTAAGCCCGTGGGCCACAACTATTGAGCCTGCGCTCTAGAGCCTGAGAGCCCCAACTGCTGAGCCCACGTGCTGCAACTTTCGAAGCTCTCAGGCCCTGATGCCTGTGCTCCGCGACAAGATAAGCCACTGCAATGAGAAGCCCTTGCACTGCAATGAAGAGTAGTTCTTGCTTGCTGCGACCAGAGAAAAACCCATGCAGCAGTGAAGACCCACCACAGCCAAAAATAAATAAATAAAATTGTTTTTTAAGAAAATAATGGCTAGTAGAGGTAAAATGCTAAACAAAATAGACTCAGAAATAGATTATGGTTGCCATGGAGTAGAAATAATAGTTGGAGCTGGATATGGAGAGTCAGTGTAGGTGCAGAGACGGAGAGATACAACTTGACAGAAAAGAGGCTAATCTCTGCATGAAGATTTGCCTTATTTGGTGAGATGCAGAAGAACATTGATTTCTGAGTTGAAGTCTGGCTTTGTAGAATACTTTTCTAGCTTCTCAGCACACGAAAGACAGGAAAAAGCCCATAGAACTACTTTGAATTCTTCTGCATTCAGCTGAGAAGATGCTTTTAAAAATATAACATGTGTTTTGTTTTGGGTTTTTGTTTTATTTTGTTTTAAAACAAAATTCTCATCAAAGATTTTACTGGGAGAGAGTTTTGCCAGACTAGTGTCTTTAAGTGGTCTATGTCACTATATCTTTCTCCCCTCTCACTAAGTATATTTATTGAAACATCTTAATCTATCCAACCTCAATCATTTGTATACACCAGAGGATTCAGAGTTTGAGGAACTTAAATATAAATATGATGTGTTCATCTAACGAATGTAAATGTCACCCAAAGGTATAAGAGCAAATTCTCAGAATTATTAAAGCATGTGTGCATGATTACATTTATATGTAATACTTCAGTAACCACTTCCCCAGCTGCCCTTCTTTTCTTGCACTAAGACGTCAAGTTTTTTTCTTTCTTTCCTCCTCTGATCTCTTTATGTAGCAAGGACCGTGCAGCAACTGCTGCTGGAGCTGCTGGCCTGGCAGGTGGGCACCACCGGGAGGCGTGGGCCACCAAGGGTCCCTCCTATGAGGACTTATACACTCAGAATGTTGTCATTAACATGGATGACCAAGAAGATCTTCATCGAGCCTCACTGGAGGGGAAATCTGCCAAAGAGAGACCTATTTGGTTAAGAGAGAGCACTGTCCAAGGAGCATATAGTTCTGAAGAGATGAAAGAAGGTAAGAGTAGAAGTTAGTAAGATGAATATGTCTTGAGTTCAGTAGAAAATAAACTTGACTTGGTAAAGAAATTTTGCCTGGGCAATTCTTAGTTTTATTGAAAACCATCCCCTATAGCAGAAAGTAACTTGAGTAATAAGCAGTAAAACCAACCAGTATTCTTGTATTAGCCTTCAACTTAGTTGAAATAACAGAGAACTTTTTAAATCTCTGGTTTTAGATTTGAGAAATTGTCATTGTCTCGTCTTAATTTCTTGCAAAAGTACTCTTGGATGCAAAGTGGCCAGATTCATCTCTTCTTTAATCTTCTGTTGCCTTTTTACATGCGTTTTTATTTCTTTGAATTGGGAGCCTTAACTATACACTAGCCCCAACTTTTTATGTTGCCTCCTCATAAATAAAAAGGAGTTGTACTGCTTGAAATACATAAAAAAATATAACATGAATAAAGAACAAGTATCTCACCATCCAAGAAGATTGACAGAACTTTATACCAGAAGGTTTTAGAAATCTCTGTGAGCCCTGAAGTGTTAACAATTGCATAATAATCCAAAGTTTGAGAGTTGCACCATTTTACTTCATAAATTTTAGTCTCAAATTACTGGATTTAGAGACTTTGGATGATGATGCTTTAAGAGTAGGTAGGAAATGGGAAGCTAAAACTGGATAAATATTACTCAGAAGCTGGGAAACGGGTGAAATAAGGAGTCTGTACCTCTAGTGAGATTTCATTAGTATTATAACCTACCCACCCCTGTTCCTAGGTTATGTATCATTACCAATGTATCACTGAGTCTGGTTCTTTAATGCTGAAAGATTCATCAGTAACTAAAAATCACTTGTTTTTTTTACTTTTTCCCTAACCTCTTTCCCCTTCATAATTAGCATTTCTTTTACTGTGTATGCTGAGAATTGTAAAAGTAGTGTGGGGTTGGGTAGTGATGGTAAAAGCAGGTAATACTTCTAGTGTGATTCTCTAGTCTTTTAATTCCAATTGGAAAAAAATTTTCCTTGGTAGTCATACTTCAGTCTCCCTTCTACCCATTGGTTACCTTGGCTGTGATGTTTAGCTATTTTGATGCGAAGTTATTTTAGATTACATCATAGTTAGTCTGTCAACTATTTAATGGTTTGTTTTCCCCAGCTTGGCTTCTTGCCTATTCTTGAAGCAACAAGCCTTTTTTTCTGTGAACTTAGGAACAAAATCGAATGAAATAAAACTATTATTAGCCAGTGTTATATACCATTAGGCTCATAAGTTTAACATTCAATGTTTATAATTCCGAGAATGGTGAAATTTAAATCATAAGGACTTTAAATAAGTCATCTAGTCTTGGTTCCCTTTTGTGAATATTTCCTTCTGTGTATAAAATAGTGTATGCTCTTAGGTCTAAATTTGCTTTCATTAGGTTTTATGATAGTTGAATAGACTCTATCCAGTGAACTGTAATGTGAGTCTTATTTGTCCTACACTTTATTTTCCTCAGAGTTCAAGTTACTTTAATATCTTTAAGAATTTCATAGACTTCAATCATGACCTCATTATTTTAGTGATAATTCTAATTCTCTTCTACTCTCCTTACAAATCATTCTCTTCTAAGTCATCTCCACCTACATTTTTTGTCTTATTTTAATTGTCCTTTTCTGGACTATCTCCAATTGTAATATACTTTACTTGAGACCTAGTGACCAGAACAATACATATTATTTATGAATGATTTTATCATTAATTATTTGAATTTTATTTCAAATATCCTTCAGGTTTTACATGACTCTATTGCTTTGATTCTGGAAGCATATTAAGACAACTTTAGAATTATATGCAGGAATTTTTTTCAGATCCTCTCCTTCCCTTTATGTGATGGCTTAGATCAGGTTTTTTAGTATATTTTAGATTATTTTTCTTTAGCAGATTTTCTTACACTATGCCAGTACTAAAATAGATCTAGGGACTTCTCTAGTGGCCAGGGGTTAAGACTGTGCATTCCCAGTGAAGAGGGTATGGGTTCGATCCCTGATTAAGGAACCAAGATCCCTCTTGCTGCACAGCGTAGCCAAAAAAAATTTTTAAACTAAAAAAAAATCCCCCAAACTCAGCAGGTTTGAGAAACAAACTAGGTCTGACACATTTATGCCCACTTATTCAACCTTCAGCTCTTACTATATTTTTTTGGTATTAGTTTGGCCTTTAAGTACCCAGAATTGCTTAGCCTCATCAGTGAACTTGACAGTTTCCCAGTACACATCATCTTCGTAGTTTATAACTCTGTTAAATAAGACTGTTCCTAGAACTAGTTTTTCTGCTTTACCATTTAGAGATTTCATTTATCCTTATTTTTTGTCTTCTCTCTATAACAGATCAATTCCTTTTTTGCCTATGTTTCTCAGGAACCTTGTCAGGAATCTTTTAGACATGACTTCATTTAGTTTTGACTTGCATACATTACTTGTCTTTTTTTCCCCTTGAAATACTACATTGGCAATAAGGGCCCTAAGAAGGAGGTTCAGCCTTTGGCACTATTTTTAAATGGTTAAGTTTGATTTCAATTCTCACTTCTACATCCATGTTATCAAAAACTTGTTTTCTCTGATCTAAACTTTTTAACTTCTCAATTCCTATTTCCTTTTCTCTTTCTTTTATGTCTCATCTTAGGAGTTTTATCTATACATTGTAAAAATGTCCAAGATTATGACTAATTCATTCTCATATGTTAGTGAGAAGATGCTTTCACTTTATCTATGACCAGAATTGGGCATGGCAACCAACCCACCCCAGTATGCTTGCCTGGAGAATCCCATGGACAGAGGAGCCTCGTGGGCTACACTCCATAGGGTTGCACAGAGTAGGCCATGAGGAGTGAAGCGACTTAGCATACACAGGTCTTCTCTTGATAATGAAAATAGATAACACTAATCTAAGTGCCAGGCCTTTGCAAATATTCACTTAATCACCCTTGTAATCCAGTGACATAAATACTATTTTCCACCCTTTTTGTACTTCAGAAAACTGAAGCAGAAAAGATGAAGTAGCTTGGCTAAAATAACACATCTAATAAATGTTACTCAGGATTTGAATAAAGGAGTCAGGTTTCAATCAACATTTTAATTTCTTTTATGTGTTTTAAATGGCATTATATTTGGTATTATTTTCAGAATACAGGATGCAAATATTTTTCTTAAATTCTTCATTTGTAACATGTACACAAAATGATAGGAAGTGTGTGATAGGAGAAGTTTCCTTTCTGATACTAGATTCCTAGATACAGTTCAAAGTACACTTAATTTGCTTCAGGAAAATAAGCTGCCGTTTATTTACTCATTCATCAAATATTTATTCAGTACCTAACAAGCAGTAGGCGCTATTCTGGGTGCATGGGATATATCACTGAGTAGAAAAGGTAAATATCTTTTGTGGAGAACTGACATTTGTGGAAAGTAGGTGACAGAGACACTAGACATAAATTACTATGTTAGAAAATAAATGCTATAGGGAAAAAAATAGAACATTAAGAATATAGAGGTGGGGTGAATTGAAAGAATGTAAAATTTGAATCAAGACATGAGAGATGAAAGGGAGTATAGGTACCTAGAGGAAAAATATCCCAGGCAAAGGAAATGGGCAGTGGAGAGGGCCTGAGGTAGGAATGTGTGTGTGGTGTGCACGGGGAATGCTTTGGAGGCCACTGTGACTGGAGCAGAACGAGCAAGGGGTAAGAGAAGGAATAAGTAGTTGGGCAGGAGTTCAGATGATGTGGGACTTTATAGGTTATTGTAAGGCCTTTGGCTTTTGCCCCAAGCAGGACGAGGAGCTTTATTTTGATGTCCTGTTATGCCAGCTACAAACTTGGTCCTTCACAGACATTATTTCATGTTCTTAACCAGAGCCCTAGAAGCCAAACACTTTTATCATCCATCATATAGGAAAAGGTACCGAAGTTTAGAGACTAAATAACTTGCCCAAAGTGTTATAGCTTGCATGTTGGAAGAACCAGGGTTCAGATCCAAGCTATATGTCTCTTAAAACCCATGTGCAGGGACTTCCCTGATGGTCCAGTGGTTAAGAATCCACCTTGCAATATAGGGAACATGCATTCGATCCCTGGTTGGGAGACTAAGGTCCCACATGCCACAGGGCAACTAACCCTGTGTGCCCAGTAAAGATTCCATGTGCCCCAACTAAGACCTGACCCAACCCAATCAATAAGTAGATATTAAAAAACAAAACAAATCAAAACAGACCCAGGTACAGATGACCCTTGAACACTACAGGGATTAATCTAAGTATAACTTATGTTCATAGTTCCTCCACATCCATGGATTCAACCAACCATGGATCATATATTACTGTTGTATTTACTATTAGAAAAAAAAAAAATCCATGTATAAGTGGGCCTGCACAGTTCAAACCCACATTGTTCAAGGGTCAGCTATACTTAAGGTTTATGTTACTTAAGCTCTAGTTTGTGAGAAACATTTTGAATACCTTTTGGACAGTAGCTCAAAAAAATGGAACCAGCGGAATCTGTGTTATCTTATATTATCCTATATTTAAATATATTAAACTTTTATAAGCTGTAAAGGAGTGCCTTTTATATTTAAGAATGTTGATTTTCTGATTTTCTCTTTGCAGGCGGCATAGATATAGACTCATTTCAGGAGCATGAAGAAGGCCGTGCAGGGCCAGATGATAATGAGGAGGTTATGCGAGCGTTGCTTATTCATGAGAAGAAGACCCCATCTGCCCCTGCAGGTTCAGTGGGGGCAGCTGCTCCCGTGACTGCTGCCAACGGCAGTGACTCTGAGAGTGAGACCAGCGAGTCAGATGATGACTCTCCACCCCGTGTGGCCACTGTGGCTGCACATCATGGGGAAGAGGATGAGGAAGACGATGAATTTGAGGAAGTAGCAGATGACCCCGTTGTCATGGTGGCTGGCCGTCCGTTCTCGTATAGTGAAGTGAGCCAGAAGCCAGAGCTGGTGGCCCAAATGACACCAGAGGAAAAGGAAGCATACATAGCAATGGGACAACGCATGTTTGAGGACCTCTTTGAGTGAGCTTTCCCTACCTTTTCCTCCTTTCTCTAATGCTCATTTCAAAAAGAGATTTCTTACCTTTGAAGAAATGTGTTTAGTGGCTTTCTGCCCCTCTTGATGTAAAGCAACTGTTAATCTTGGGCAAACAATAGTGGGAGAGAAAGTTTGATTATTTTATGCCAGAAACTTCCCCCACAAGGTAGGTTGGCTATAAGCATTCCCTTTCCTATTACTACAGTATTAATATTTTGCTGTATTCCCTTATCTAATCTTTTTCCTTTCCTTTTTAAGACACATTTTTCTCCCTTCTGAAATGAGTGTGACAAGTCTATAAGGTAAATTCTTCCTGTCTGCCTGTAGAAGCCCATTATGATAGGTTACAGTAATTCACTGATCACATCCTTTTTATCTGTTCTGACCAAGCATTCCTAACAGCCCCTGATATTGCTGCCAACCAGGCAACTTCACAACAGGCAAGTCATTGATGTAGGAAAAAAAAAAAACTTAAAGTATTACATTGCCTCACGGTTGAAGATGGAGTCATTGTGTAAGGGGAGATGAGAGTATGTCTGGAAGGAGGATGGTTATGCCTATGTCTCATGATTAATATCTAAACCAAAACTGGTGTCTTTAGAACTGACTTGACTGGCAGATGTTATTGTTTTGCTTACTGCCTTGTGGTTTGTATATTGGATAATAGAAAACAGAAAGTGTGTTTGGAAAGTCCTTAGGAATAAATTAGAGAAAAAAATGTGGGCTTAGGATAAGGAGTCCATGTGAAGTATTGAAGAGTTGAGAGCATTGGAAACAGTACCCTTTAGAATCGTCTGACTTTGTGCTGATTTAGAAAGCTGAGACTGGTACCCTTCTTTTTCAGTTCTTCCACAGTGTTATAAATTGTTTAAAGAGGTCATCGCAGCAGAAATCAGCATATAACAATTGATTACTCCTTTGTTTTTTTCTCTCAACCTTTTTGAAGGCCTTCTTTGTCTCTTTTGATTCTTGTCAAGCATGGTATTTTAGAGTGCATCCAGTATATTGTTGAGCATTGTAACCTCAAGGAAGATAGTTTATTTTTGATTCTGATATGTAGCGTGGTATTATTCCCAAAGGCAGAACTTTAAAAAATTTTCATACAAGGGTCTACAGTTGTATTTTTTGTAATATTTTTCCTTGCATTGTCATTTTTAGGTATTTATCATTTTTTAGTACATGTGTAAAGTGAAGATAGATTTTCGAGCATCTGAGCCTTGTGTGAAGTAATGTTTCATTAACCTGGGTTGTATTAATGACTAAATATTGACAATAAATCTATTTTATACTGACTGAAATTTGTTAATTTCTAGCTCTGACATCTTGGAGCATAATTAAAGTGAATACTCTTCCCAATGAAGAAAAATGTTTCAGAAGTTTTTCTCTTATTGGCATTGTTTCAAATAGTCAATGCAGTTGTATGTGATCTAAACTTTTTTCTGGCCGTAAGTTGCCTTAAGAATGACTTTAAGTATGTACCTTGTGCAAATAGGGCTATTCAACTTTTAAACATTGTTGTTGTTTTCTAAACATTGATAGTTTAGAAAGAAGTTCAGTAGTAATCAGATGTTAAGTTTTGAAATGTAGTTCTAGGTGAACTGTCAGCTCTTCATTTCAGCGAATACTTGTTTCTTGCTTTTTTTTTCTTGATCTCACTTGCATGTTCTTTTTCCTGAAGCTACCATTCTATTTTTCTTATCTGTTATCTATTCTTTCATCTCCCTCTTGGAGTCTGTGTTATAACCTATGACTGTGCTGAAATTGTTCAGTTTTTTTTTTTAATGTCTTATTTCTTATTTTCTTTATTTCTCAACCTCTTTGGCTGCTCTTTGAGCTGTCAACCCATCTTTTCCTTGAAACATTTTTTGTTTGGTATCCTAGGTTTCTCCTTACACTGGCCAGGTTTCTCCTTACTTCAGGAGGCCTCCATGCTTCCCTGGCTTCTTTACCTTGCCTCTGCACCATCCGTACTGACTCACAGTAACCATGGACACAAGTCTGTGTGGCAGATTTTCACTGAAGTCTTGTATTATAGTAGAGGGCAAGGGATGGTCAATGGGAGGGATTCAGCATTGAGTGGTCAAGGAATATGATACACATCCTTGTCCTTAAAGAGTGTCTGACATTTTCACATGTTTCATCCCAAGTAGAGTGCTGTAATATTTCAGCTTCCTTTTTCCTTCATCACCTTTCATCACCTTTTTCTTTCCAAAGGCCTTGGAAAGTGATAAATGTATTAGAAAAAATAACTTAGTTCTTTATTTTATTCCTGTTCGAAGTATGACCTTGAAAGATCCTATCATATCCAAAGTGGTCTATCAAAATGTTTCCCTAACTAAGAAACCATTTTTCCACCCACTTTTTCCCCTTCCCCTCACTTTGCCACTTTTTTCTTCTCTCTCTGCACTAGATAAATATTCCTCATACACTTGACCAAAGTCAGGTGATGAGTAAACAACTTTGGCCCTAGGTGATGCATAGCTTTGTATCTGCTGGAAGATTGCTTCCAATCTATCTGCCCTTGTAGTTGAACCCTTTTTCTCGTTTAGATACCACTTTTTTTCCAGAACACTTTAAGGAGCATTAACTTTAAATGATTAAAAGGAAATATCCAATTTGGCATAGCCTGGAAGTCAGGAGACTAGGTTCTAGTCCCAGTTAACTAGACACTTGCAGTGTGACACTATTACCTGATGTGATCTTCCTGGGCTAGTTTCTCAGTTGTCAATAATGGGAGGATTATGGTAGGATCACCAATATTCCTTTCTGCTCTGATATTTTATGTGAAGGTAAGTAGTAGCTAACATGTTTTAAAGTGAGGCTGAATAATAATAACAAAATAACAAGAAGAAGTCTTTTGATGTGCTATAGCAATTCAAGCCAGTTGAAGGATATTTTAATGGAAGGGCTGGTGTAGGTAGCAGCTTTAGGATTTAGAATGTAGAAAAACAGAGCATAAACAATTACTCACTAGGTTTTTGTCTTCTGGTCCTGCCAAGGTACTTCATTTCTGACCTCAATAACTGAGGAAGAAATAATTGAATATTTCATAACTCTTTTTGGTATCATTTTGAGATAATTAGTGAATGGGAATGAGATTGGGAAGAGCAGTTCCTCTTCTTTCTACCAGTTGGCTGTTTGGCTAGATTCCCAGCCAGTACTACAATAGAAGAACTTATATGTGTAGTTTCTTGTTCTCCATATTCCTGGGTTAAAAATAAAAAAAGTAGCTAGGAGATGACAGTCAAAAAACAAATACGAAAATCTTTAAAATTTATAAATTGGTATAATTCCACCTTCTATTTGTTTAGCATTTTGTTTCCATCAAAGCTGTTTCACATTGTTATCTCTGGCAGAGCTATGCTACTGTCACTTTAAAATTTTTCTTTTTTAAATCTCTTGGGGAAATGAGGAAGATTTTCAGAAAGGAACTAGAACTGTGGCACTAAACTTACTGTCCTTTCTATTGGCTTTTTATATTATGAAAGCAAAGTAAACTGTGAATAAGTACAAGTATTCTTAAAACATATAAAGCCGAATGGGTTGAAACGGGAAATGCCTTGAAATTTTGCTTCTTCCTTTGAAGAGCTAAAAAGGAATGAACTAATTCTAGTGGGTCCTCAAGGAAAGGAACAAGCACCTTAACCTCTCTTCAGAAAGATCTTGCTGTCCTTCTGAGTACTAGAGGCTGCCATTCCTATTCCAGTTGCAAAGCAAATAGGTCTCTAACATGACCCAGTTTCAGCACTCAACCCACATTTCCCATCACACGAAAGTACATTATCACTTACCTGATGTAAATAAGTCTGAGAAATTTGTGTGGAAACAAAGGCTAGTGCCAGGTGCTAAAGTGCCTTTAATCACATTAAGGCATACAGAATAGTTGTACAATTTGTTGTTGTTATTACTTAAATATATTATTTAAAAATTCATCCAATAAGATATATATGTATATATAGTAAAAAATGAGAACTCCTCACCCAGCCCATCCCTATCTCACTTACCCCAAGATATCCATTGTTGACAGTGTGTATCATCCCAGACCTCTTCTAGACCTTTAGAAACAACATACTTAGACTCATACCCACAAATACATTGCAGTGCTTTTTAAGTCAATACAATCATATATAAATTGCCCATACATACATTGCCATTTGTTTTTGAAATATCTTGAAGATCTTTCTATATCTGTATATTTAAGTCTGATTCATTTTTAAAAATAAGGACTAGGCTGAATTAGGTAGTGTCCAGTTTTTCACTATTAAAGTGCTATAATGAATTACCCTTATATATCCTTATTCTATATTTCTATAGGATAGAACCGTAAAAGAGAAGTAGCAAATCAAAGGACATGTCCATCTTAAACTGATAGCTCTTGCCAAATCACTTTTCAAAAAAACTGTTGGAGAATTTTAAGCAGGGAAACAATTTGTAGCATTGCTGTTGGGTTGGAGTTGAAACCTGGAGATTATTAAGGTGATTTCAATAGGCTTAGTAATAAAGGGCTTCCCTCATAGCTCAGATAGTAAAGAATATTCCTGCAGTGCAAGAGACCCAGGTTCAGTCCCTGGGTTGGGAAGATCCCCTGGAGAAGGGAATGGCAACCCACTCTAGTATTCTTGCCTGGAGAGTTCCATGGACAGAGGAACCTGCAGGCTACAGTCCATGGGGTCACAAAGAGGCATGACTAAGTAACTAAAACACACACACACACACACACACACACACACAAGTCTGTGGGGATGGAAAGAGGGGACAGGTTTAAGAAACTTTGGAGGGGTGGCATTAATGTACTTGGTGTCTGTTTGAATATGGCACTACCCTGGATGAAGCTGTATTCTGACTGAATGGTTGTTCCATTTATCAAGATTGGAAATACAGGAGGGAGAGCAGAGTTTATTCTTGTTTCAGCTCACATCTCATAAATGGCACCATCATTTCACCTGCATGCTCACACCAAAAGTCTAGTAGTTGGCCATCCTTTCTGTTTTCTATCCCACATCCTGTTCATCAGCAACCTGTCAGACTCAAAATATAATCTAATTTATATAACTTAAGTTTGAAGGTAGAGCTGATGGGACTTGCTAATAAATTGAAAATATATTCTAAATCTCACCTCTTATACTTCCACCACTACCAGCCTACCACAGGCCATATTAATACCTCCCCCTACCCCCACTTAAAACACTTCATTGACTGTTTCTTAGAATAACATCTAGACTAAACTCCTGACCCTTTTCTATAGGTCCTAAGAGATCTGGCCCCTGACTACTTTTATGAGCACACCTATTATTCTTCCTGTTAACTACTCTCTAACAACATTGACATTCTCTGCTTTGCAAATATGCCAAGGTTTTTCCTGCCTTAGGTCTTTGCCCTAACTATATTCTCTGCATAGAACTTTTCCATTCCTGTCACTTTTATTTGATTCTCAGCTTAAATGACACTTTCTCAGAAAAGCCTTCTCTTAATCTCTTCTCCCAGTCATGGTGATATTTTCCTACTTTATTTTCTTCATATTAACATTAATGTTTACAATGAACTTGTTTATTTTTTTATGTCTCTCAACTCCCCCGCCCCCCCCCCCCCCCACAAAGACTCAGGACAGAATACTAGCATGTGCAATTAATTCTGGCACATGATAGGCTCTCAACAAATGTTGAATGGATGAATGGACGGATGAATTGGCACTAGGAGAACATACTCTTTCTCCACCAAGGCATATCATTTTGTTCCTGCCTGAATTTTATTTATATATATGTTTCTTAATCAGTTATGTTTACTTGTGGTTCATGGTACCTAGGACTGTGTCCCCAGGGTAGCAGAATATAGCTTCTTTGGTGCAACCAATGAGATGCCTAGAAGCTTTAGTTCTGGGGAGCCATTAGCTTCAATGTTCATGGAAAAGAGAACTTAGTATTTTGTCTAGGACCGCCCTGTCCAATAAGGTAGCCACTAGCCACTTGTGACAATTGAGTACTTGAACTGTATCTAGTCCAAATTGAAATGTGCTGTAAATATGAAACACATACCAAATTTTGAACTCAGTGTGGGATTAAAGAATATAAAATACCTTATTAATAATTTTTATATTGATTATTTTTTGAAAAGATAGTACCATCGATATGCTAGGTTAGAGGAAATATGCTATTAAAGCTGATTTTAGCTGTTTCTTTCTTTTATATGGCTATTAGAAAATTTTAAATTGCCTATATTGCTGACATTTGTAGCTTGCATTGTATTTCTGTTGAACAGCACTAGTCTAGGACATTCTCTTCAGGTGCTAGAATTATGTATTGTACTTAGTGACTATACATCTTTCCTCGTGTGCAAGTTTTTGACCTGAATGCTGTGCTCACGTTCCACTCCTCCCTATCATCTACTAGAAAGCTAGGCTACATTTTGTTGGTAGACTCTTTCTCTTGGGAACAATAATGAATTTTGCTTTTGGTTTAATTTTTCCCCTTTCATGGGTGAAAATGGTTGGGGTGAGGTGTTTTTTTTTTTTATTCTGTGTGTTTCCTGAAGTAGGATGAAATATTAGGGATGACATTAGCACTGGAGATAAGGAACTGAGAATTGTTTACTACCTAGACCAATTTTGTGATGTTGAAAGTGCTGCTGACTCCTGGGTAAGTGAGGAACCTGAGCATCTGGTGAAGCCACCACGCCAGAGACAGAGGAACTCAGAACCAGTCCTAAATCAGAGGAGTGGGAAGCCTAAATTGGTGCTCTGTATGCGTGATCTTAACAGGCAGTGTATGTGAGATTGCTCATGTGTTTATTTCTGTCTCTCCCCTTGCTATAGAATGTAAGCTCCATGAGGGCAAAGGCTTTATCTTTCTTGCTTACTGCAGTGTTCTGTCTCATATCCCTGACTCAATGCCTGGCACATAGTAAGTACTCATCAATAAATACTGAATGAATTAAACAAGTATGTTATCCAGGCCAGGAGTAAGCCATGGCCTTTATACAAAAGACTTTTCCGTTTGTATACCTAATTGTATACCTAATGTTTTTGATGCTATTTTGTATTAATTATCTTCCTGTTTGGAATGCTTACAGATGGTGAGTGCTGATCTACGCAGCAAAG